GGGTTACATGCTGAGCTTGCACACGAGCCCCATTTCAGGGGCCCGACGGTTGCTGAGGGGCCCCCAGGCTGCGTGCCCATCGGACACGCGCCCTGGAGGCCCATGGCGGCCCCCAGGCCGCAGATTTCGTTTTCAGCAGCATTTATTTAATTATTTATTCACTTATTTATTTGCTGTCCTATTTTGTCTGTGCAGACGTTGTTTCGGACCTGCAGGCCCCAAGGCTACACCTTGGGCTGGGTACACAGGAGCGAGAGGCCGTTTTTAGGCCAGGCACGCTTTTGCGCCTTGCTGCATCAGCAGCATGGTCTGGACGCCTGGTAGAGGCCCAGACCGAGTGGGCCGTTTGAGGCCAGGATCAGAGGCGCGCCCAGCCAGGCCCAGCGCTACTTATAGCTGGGCAGCGGCTGGGCACACACAAAGTTCGAGTAGCTCACTCCTTCGGCGACATGCTGCTGGATCAGCACCGCACGCGACAGTGCTGCGCTGCACTAGAGGTAGAGGAGTAGGTAGGGAGACAGGGCGGAGGCCATACCTGCAGCGTTCGAGTACGTACCTGGGCGCCATAGCTGGATCTGGCTCCAGTGACCTGCAGCGCAGCGTACGCCGGCGACGTCAGTACTTGGCAGCAGTTACCTGCAGGTGAGACAGTGAGGAGGACGACATCATCTTCTTCGTTCTTCTATCTGTTCTCGCCCTCCCCCCTCTTCTTCCTCCTTCCTTCTTCTTCTTCTTCTTCTTCTTCTTCTTCTTCTTCTTCTTCTTCTGCTTCTTCTTCTTCTTCTTCTTCTTCTTCTTCTTCTTCTTCTTCTTCTTCTTTCAGAGAGAGAGAGAGAGGTTACCGGCAGGGGTTACTTCGGGCATGATGCCCGGGATCTGATCCGACATTTTTGGTGGCAGACATTGATTGGACTTTCGACAGGGGGACTATTTTGGACTTCGCTATCGCGGTCTTGTCTTCTCCCTCACCTCCATCTTCGTCTCACCTCTCCCCCCATTTCTCATCCGTGCTATCTTCCCCATGTGCGTGTGCAAGGAGGGACCTTTCGTCTATGTATGCGGTCCCTCCTCCCTCTCTCACATGAGTGATGTATGATGGGATGTCACATCAGTATCTGACAGGTCAGGTCCTATCTTTGAGTCTTCCGTTGCGCTACTTTGTTCCTTCTTTGTATGTATCTGGATGTACACTGCTGTTGATGCTTTGCTGACACTGCATTGTCGAGTCGAGTCCATTTCATCACTTTGCGGATTCTTGTCTCCCCATGCATTGCTCGATTGAGCATGTATCATTTCTCATGAATTTTTACTTAGAAATTGGCCAGAATCATAACAAAGTGAGCTTTTTGTTTTCCCTTTCTTCCCTTTTTTTCCTTTTCTTTCGTTCCTATTTTTCTGTTTATTCCCCTTTCTTCATCTGGTTGCAACTGGATTCGAACTTGGGTTTGTAGTATCAACAGTTCATGGGTGTACCAAGGGCTTTCGAAGGGGGGGGAGGGGGGAGGGGATGTTCATGGGTGTACCAACTGAGCTAGGCCAGTTGGTACTGGTGGTGATTCTTTTTTTGTCTGCTTCCCAATCCCTTCTCTTCGGCTTCTTGATCATTTTCTTGCCTGGTTTGTGGCTTTGCCTGGCAGGCATCTGGACTGATGGGCAGTGGATCTTCTCGGCCGGTCTGGATCAACGGCTGCGCTGCTGGGAAATTGACGCCAGCATTCCTTGGCATGCTCCTAAATTGTGCGAAACAACGAAGAGTGACAATGAGAGCCGTACATCCAAAACTGAAGATACTAGTAAACAGGGTCTTTCAATGTGTGGTCAGGAAGCACCTGTGTCTGGCCCAGGGAGAGAGACAGCAGAAAAGATGCCAGTTGTCAGATGGCGGAAGGAAGTTAAAGACCGTGACAGACTAACAAGAGCACAAGAAGCAGCGAAGCATGTCGGATGGTTGAAGGAGCAAGCCTGGTGCATCTGTGACGTTCCGGAGGTTGCTGGCATTGATGTCAACAAAAACCCAGTCAGGTGAGCCGCTCTGCCAAATCCAGCATCTAAACATTGGAAAGAAGAATGACATGCAATGCAAGGGACGCTAGGCGTGAGTAAACAGACCCCATTTAGTTCTGCTGCCTACCTCCTTTTTCTTTTTCAGTTATGTCGTCTACCTTTAGCCTCACAACTGGTGTTAAAGGTAGGGACCCACGGGCCTAGCTCAGTTGGTACGCTCATGAATTGTTGAAATGGACACCTGAGTTCAAATCCCAACGCAAATAGATGAACGGAATGAAAAAATTCTCAATTATCTGCGGCCGGTCAGTTCCATGATATCTGCCTAGGGGCGGCCCTTTGGAATACTAGCTGTCTGACCAACCCGGGCTGGTGCTCATTAAAAAGAAAAATTGTATAGGACGATTATGCTTGGCGACCGTAGTACCCGTGCAACAGGGCTCATTCGATAGTGCTTCAACTACGCCTGGGAGAGGTTGTCCTGGCCCAGGGCTGGTGCCTGTGACTGCTGTCCAGTATATCCGAGGTAGGGCCAACAAGTGCCCCTGTAGATGGGAAAGCAAGGGTTACGCTGCGGAAGAAGAACAAAGAGGTAGGTTGGGGTGGGTCTTATGAGCATCAGGGAAAAAAAAAAAAAAAAAAAAAAAAAAACCTGGAAATTCGAGAGCATTGAGGACGTTCATTCACATCAGCCCAGTCAGCGATTGACTCACAAGCTCTGGTTCCTAGATCTCTACCAATTCATTTTGTCATGTCCCACGTATTGTGTTGCTGCGCTGGACAACAATTGTATAGGTCATCATCCACGGTTCGATTTGGCACCCTCTTCCTTTCGTATGCGAGGAAGTGTAGACAACCGGCCTTCCTGTGGCGTAGCAGTGCATTAAAAGCTTGCTTCTTGTGGAAATTTGGTCTTCTCTTTTGTTTTATAAACAAAGTTAACAAACCTTTTTTTCTGAAGCATATGTTGGGTCACTCTTTTGCCTGAGATTTGAAAGATGCTGCAAATTGGAGGTAAGAGGAACAAGTGGAAAGAAGATTCCTCATCAGCAGACTGTTAGTGTAATGAACCCAGTCTGGCAGATACTCAGAAGTCGTCAAACATCAGTAGTCTCGTTATCTGCATCAAAGTCTCCAGATCGTGAAGTGATAATTCAAACTGTATCTTATTATCATCAGAAGAAGAGAGTGGAGAGAGAACATACAAAGGAGAAGATGAGAGATCAAATAATAATCCCTGCAGATCCCTCTCCTTCTCTGGGATTCCTCCCTCTCCACATCAACAGTGATAACAAGTATATTCCTGATCACATACAATAGTGCCACGTGGCACTCAATCTCGTGAAGACCGTGAAGACATAGCAGATTCCAGTGACGAAGTCAACCTCCGGTGAGTACCCGACCTCCTTCATCCACAGATCGCGATCTTCTCCTCCTCGCAACCAGTCACCTCGTGTAGACAGTGTGGACAATGCCACATCAGCAGATGAGACAGATGGCACATGTCACATCATCAATGAAGATCAATAGCAGCACAAGTAGACCAGGAGCAGCGCCACGTAGACCAGAGGCAGTGCCACATATACCAGAGGCAGCGCTACGTCAGCATGCCATGTAGACCAGACGCAGCGCCATGTCAGCATGCCACGTAGACCAGAGGCAGCACCACATATACCAGAGGCAGCGCCACATCAGCATGCCACCTCAGCAAGCCTGGCGCACAATGCCGAAGGCGCCAGCATGCTGTCACCGCCTCGTACTGTCGCCCGCACCGCCTGAACACAGCCAGCGTCTAGCCAGCGTCGCACCAGCATAATGCCAGCGTTTAATCGAAGTCAAGCCAGCGTCAAACCAGCATAGCAAGACTGAATACTGACCACCTCGAGGCCAGTCTTTAAATAGTATTTGGCGAGGCTCTCTGGCCTCGGGTATCCTTCCCTCAGTCGTCCAGATTGAGTCACAGCCGAAGGCCTGGATCGTACAGTTGCAGACTTTCCCCTTGGACCTTATGCTGTCTGGGTACCTGCATACAAACAAGTGTGTGTGCTTGACCTGCGGCCTGGAATGGGTACCTTTGGACTTTGACTGTTCGGGTCAGGGCAGTTGACAAAAGTAAACTGTCTCACGTCCAGGCCCTGAATATCTGTGTGGGGTCTTGGCCCCTGTTTCGGCCTGGGCTGAGGGCGGCCGAGATGGCCCTCAATCTTTACATGAGAGATATGGCATGGGTTATTGCATTCCTGCCGGCCCAGTTTTCGAGTTCCATCGAAGAAAATACATCCATTCTCAGTTAACCCACGTTCATATGCAGCGACAATATCAGGAGCAGTGGGTAGGAGTTCTTCTGTATACATACTAAAGCAAACAAAGGGTCTGGCGACATGGTCGGTCGCGGGCCCAAGGGAAACCGTTTGGGACACAAAAGCGTGGCGGGGGGGGCGCGGGGTTGAGGCCGAGGGAGAGGAGAGGCCGACGAAAACCGTTTGGCCGCGCGGGGGAACGTGCGTGGGGAATGCCAGGCCGCGCGGGGGTATACGCACAGGGAAAAAAGTTGGCCGCGCGTAGAAAAAAGTTGGCTGCGCGGGGGAACGTGCGTGGGGAATGCCAGGCCGCGAGCGCGTGGGGCGACCGCGTGGGGCCCGGGGGACTGAACCACGTTATCGGAGCCTTGCTTTGCGGGGATCAACGGTGGCCGTGTGTGTGTGTGTGTGTGTGTGTGTGTGTGTATGTGTGTGTGTGTGTGTGTGTGTGTGTGTGTGTGTGTGTGTG